TCATATGCTTATTCATTCTTGCTTATTCATTCATGTTGTGGTCATGATGAGTTTCCTTCATAGAGGTACTATAGTGACTTTATATGCAGATCCCTCTGCATTCCCTTTTGGGAAAAAAAAAAAAGAAAAAAAAAAAAAGGATTTGACACTTACCAATTCTATTCCTGTGCTAAGGTCACTATAAGTGACAAGATATACACCAAAGCTGGTTGTTTGGCAATTTCCTGTCTAAGTTCCTCTGAAATACCTGAAAGAATATTATCTGGTCCTTGTATTTGTCACAGTTCATTGTATTAATTTCTTCTAAAGTACCTTCTATTAAGACTAAATTCGAAACACTTCCTGTGCTTTACCTCCAATAAGAAAAAGTTCCAGGATAAGAACTTCCCAGATTCTTCCAATGCAAAGAATAATCTTATTTTTATGCCTTAGAGACTATCCAGTTTTAGTGTATTTGAAAAAAGGTTTTATTATTAGTTCATATCCCCTTAGAAGTTGGTTCTCAAAGTCTTTGTGAGATTGTATTTTACATTTAACTTGCTAGAATACATGTTTATTTCTTATTCTCAAATTACTATCTTTTGTAGAACTTTTTTGGTTGTTTCACTGGGCCTTTAAAAAAAGCTACAGATTTGAAGCACATCACCAGCCCCTACAGAACTTTCTATGGATTATTGCTGAAAACACAGCTGCAAAAGCAGTAAGGTAATAAATAACTGCTGGGCATGAGATTTGCCCAGCAGATACATCACACAATATGATTATGCATAGGCTCACAAACTCTAGTCTCCCACAGTGCAGTTCTTCCCCAGCAGCATTAATGGGAACTCAGTTGTAATGTGACAAATACTTATCAACAACTTCAAACCTGACCATGTTCCCCCCCACATTTCACAGGGGCCTCTTCCCCTGAAAATCACACTGTCCAGCAGTGCAAGGCCATTTGTGCTGTGGCTTTCTGTCAATATCCCTTCTTATTGCACATCATTTTTAGGGCACGATTGCGTTTGAACCTCTCTCTCAACTAGGAGAGGGTTTTGTTCAGAAAGAGTCACCTAAATTCTTTTCCTCTTAGGAACAGTCCTAAAAGGACAATGAACAGCGCTATCCAAACTTCAAGGTCAGAAGCCAGCAGTACAAGAAGGTCAGCAATTATGATAGGAAATACAATTGCCTCTACACCCATGACTGATTGGTTACGTTTGATAGCTCTCTGCTTCATGACACCGTTAGACACAGCAAGTGTGAAATTTAGCTTCCATGACTCCAGCCTTTTGTTACAGCTTTCTCTAATGTGCCGTGGCAGAGAGACTGAGAGAACTGAACTCTGCTGAAACTTGAAAGGACACAATATTAAAGAAGACATTACAGTGATGGTTCTTATTTCGCGCTGACCAGGCTTCCTTCTGTTCACGTGACACAGCTGAAACCGCAGCAATGGCCAGTACTTAGTTCAGCA